TGACGTTCTAAGACGCAGAGTTAAACAGAATGACTGGGGCACTGCCGCTCATGGCAAGCTGGACGGCGCTGTCCCCACCCGTCCCCTCCCTGGGAGCAGGAACGAGATGCCGGTCATCAGGGGTTCTGTCCACGCTGTGCGGAAGGGGCTCGTCGGCTATGACGGAAGAGAAGTAAATGTCGGTGTTAAATGTTCATGTAGGTACTCCAATTAAGAGGCCCAAAATGTTAGAACGCGTAAAGCAGGGCACGGACCGCACGTAGGCTAGCTAGAAAAGAAAGATCTTAAAAAATAAGTTAAAAATTAGTACCAGCAGATGGCATAACGGTTACATCGCTGGGCTCCCAGGTAGTCGAGTGAGCTTCGAGTTGTAGGCTCGCGTGCGTGCATGCTGAAATCCCAGGAGGTGACTGGACGGGAAGGCTTGCAGTGTGGCCATCCCCCGTAGGGAGGGATTTCTCGCTCTCTGTCTGTCTCTCTGGCGAGCGCACTTGCCCTATAGCAAAAGTCTCTAAAAAAACAGAAGTTAAAAGGAACATAGAAATGCCTACTATACAAACAAGCACAGAAGGACTGGAGTGGCTTGTAAAACTGGCCAGAGAAGTAGAATCCAAAAGTAATGGCGTGGGGCTGACCGTGGTAAAATAGGACAGTCTGTAAGCCATCCCACGTGAGAAGGTCCCTGGTTCAAGGCTGGAGGCCTCCTCGATTTGCTACTCGAGATCTGGGACTGGCTGAAGGCTGGGGTGGGTCCCAGCACCGAGACCCTATTGGGAGGGTTCTCTCTCTCTCTTTCATTCATGAAAGAAATAGATACATTAATGTTATTTTAAAAGATAGTATTACCAGAGATCAACAGTGGTGTTTTTTTCTCTTCACCTTTTAAGAGGTTTTTGCTCTAGGGCATATGCACTCACTGGGGAGCAGAGAGACAGAAAGTAAAAACTCATGGCCATGCCATGATCCCTCCTCCATTCTCCTCTCGGGGTCTTGGGCATGCACGCGTGCATATAAGTAAGGCATGAGTTTCAAGCTGCTGGGTCCGGGACTCGAACGGCAGAACCAGTTAAAGAAGAAGGCAGCTCTTCGATCACGGTTGGACAGTCTAACACCCTCCCTCAGTAATGGTGGGATGACTAGACAGCACAGCACCGAAGACAGGGACGGTGTGACCCACCCTGCCCATCACCGGAGCCGATGTCCTAGAACACTGTATCCCATTCTTTTCAAGAACACATGGTATGTTTATCATGATAGACCATAATCTTAGCCATTAAAAATTATAAATCGATACAAATAAGTTAACTTTGGGATTTGAAAATAAATCGCAAGTTATGAGTTGAGTCAAAGTAATAAGTGGCTGGCAGGACCCTGCTTCCCAGCAGAGACAAACACAACGCTCCTCTGGAACCGAGCAGTTTCTGTCCTCTGCTTACCTGAAGTTTGCTGCAGACCGCTTTCCCGCTGTGCTCTGAGAGTCTCCTCGAAGCGCTCTCCCAGAGGCTCAGCTCTTCCCTCACTCCCACGTGCCCTTTCTCCCAGTTGGAACCCCCTCGGTACCCTACAGGAGGGAGAGGAGCAGAGCTCTGTGGGGACTGCTGCTGCATGGCTTGGGCACCCAGGACTGTGGTGCAGGGTCTTCTGTTTGGGGCAGAAGCAGAGGAGGCTGGTCCAGCCTGGGCTCTAGCCTGAGCTGTTAGGCCGGACTCCACGCTCCGCCCGCAGGTCTGCCCCCGAGCACTGTCGTCCAGGTGACCGTCATGGTCAGCATCTGACCAGTCAGGTCAGGGGCCAAAGCTGGCCCCAGGCAGTGCCCAGAATCCCCGAGGGGCCAGATGGTGGTGCAGGCTTAGACCGGACACTCTGCAGGGCCGACTCACACAGAAGGTTCCAGGATCAGTCGGCCGCCTGGGTACGTGAAGCCGTTGGTGCCCATCATGGGCTCGCCGAGGCTGGGCCAGAACCCAGCATGGAGACCCTGGTGGGGTGCTGTCTCTCTGTCTCTCACTCAAAGCAGAAATAAACTTCTAAAAAAAAAGAAAGAAAGAAAAAGAAAAGTGCCCGCCGGCGGTATGGTGGTTACAGCACCGGATCCCACATGGCCACTGCCCAATTGGAGTCCAGACCTGGGCTGGTGAAACACGCCGGAGCCTGTGCGTGCTGCCCACCATCCTGAGAGCAGAAGGGAGAGGGACCGCCACGAGGCCAGCGCCAGGAGGCCAGCCCCCGGGGCGACGTCTCGCTTTCTGTCTCTCTCCAGTGACTAGGTGCCCTGTAGCAGCAGGTGAAGGCGAAGGGGAGAAGGCGGGAAAATCTCGGAGTCCTGCAGAGGTGGGGCTGGCCGGGCCAGGCTGTGCCAGGCGCCCCTGGGGCAGGGCCCACCCCACCAGCGGGAACAAGGAGCCAGCT